GGGCGTCATGCCGCTACTAAGGGGGAGCAAAACATTTCTGTGTAAACAAATATATAATCTGAAAACAAATAAGAACAAAACTTCCATACCTAGGCAGATATCATTTAATGTACGCAAATGTAAATAGTTACAATTAGTGTAGTACTGAAAATATCTGCCTGGCATATTAAAATAATTTAAAAAAATCAAATAAAATTAAAAAACATTTTATCGTTTAAGATTACCAATGTATGTGGATTTGACAATTCAATTTATTTTGTTTTCATGAAAAAATGTCCAAATAGCAAATAAACTTACGTTACATTTTACTATAGTAAATTATAAGATTGTAAAAAAGTAAAGATCTGTCTTTATCTATTTGTCTTATCCACATACAATGTCCAACCAATTTATACATTTTGTATGTGTACCTTGTGCGGGGGGTTGGGGCGAGGCGGCGCGGGGCGCGGGGGCGGCGTCTTGTGCCGCTTGCCCTCCGCCCCCGCCCCCGCCGCCGCCGCCGCCGGGGCTGCGGGGGGCGCGCCGCCTGACGGGGCGGAGCCCCTCGTCGGCGCGTGCAGCACTGCGAACGGATCCGACTCCCATGCACTCTGGATATTGACACAAGCATCACGTTAACTGATAAATTTAAATATAAATAGTATACTCTCTCTTTCACGCACATCCATACACACAGTATATCTATCTCTCTCTCTCTCTCTTTCTCTGACAACTCACATCATTAGCTGCGGCGGCTGGCTCGCTTGGGGCGAACGCGTCGCCGGCGAATGGATCCGCACCAAAACCGTCCTGTACAATAAACATACATGATTTTATTCAATTCAATAATGCCAAATAAATGTATTTCTCTGATTATGTGTACCTGAGCGTGTGCTGGCCCGCCGGAGGGCGCGAAGGGGTCGCTGGGGGCGAAGGGGTCCGCTGAGTGGGAGTTCGTCTTCGCGTCGGGGAAGGGCTCGTCCTCCTGCACAACACACGGACACATTCAGAATACGTTGTCGGTTGCACATTTGTCAGGTATCAATGTAGCAGCTGCAGCGCTGCGAGCACTGACGAGCGAGGCGCCGCGCGCTAGACGCTGCAGGTACTGCGGCTCGTGCAGCGGCTGCAGCGCTGCGGGCGCGCGCCCCGCCGCCATCGCCGCCAGCGCCGCCTCCATCGCGCGCTCGTGCTCCTCCAGGTGGTCGATCTTCACTCGCGCCTGTACAACAATAAATAAAATAAAGTTTAATCCTTACCAACACTACAATACAATTGTAAATTAACAAAAAAGTAATCAAATATAAAATAATGAAAAACTTAACTAATGAAATGAAAACAAAAATGAAATATTTAAAATTAGAGCTGCAATGCTGACTGGATTGGGTCCTCGCTCAGCTTTAAATGGATACTTCTAGCTAAAGAACCCAGTGCTGATCGTGAACATACAACATAGAACATGTCGGTACAGGACACGGTAGTGGTTTCCGTACTTGACTGAGCGCGAGCACGGTGCGCTGCAGCTGCGCAGTGAGCGCGTCCGCGGCGGCCTCCGCGTCGCGCAGCTCGGCGTGCAGCGCCTGCTCGCGCGTGCGCTGCGACTGCGCAGCTGCGCGCCTGCCCGCCACCTCCGCCTCCGTCTCCGCCGCCGCCGCCTCCTGCGCGCTCGCCTGCGACCGCAGCTTCTCCACCTGCGCCACACAACTTTACACTCGCACAACACTTTTATAGTCAAACGACCAGTGGATCGCATAACGCTGCTTGATCCGACGCCAGAGGATCTTTGAGGGGTAGGGACTCTCTTTTTTTTGAAGGCTCCTAAACCGTAACTGGAAATACCGCTGAAGATATAGTATTTATTTTTTCTTTCACTTTCAAAGAAATGTAACGTTAGAATGAAACACCAAAAGATACACTAATTGTACTTGGCACATGAGTTAAGATCAAATTCTCCTCACCTGTGTCTTTAGGTCGTTAAGTCGCTTCTGTGCTTCACCCTTCTGGTTCTCTAATTGTTTCAACGTCGCCGTCAATGTGTCGAGTTCGCGCTGAAAACATATTTCAACATAAGAAGATGGAATATTTCCCTCTTACTCTCACTCATGTTTAGTTTCTCACCTGCAAGCTGTCAGCCTCCCCCTCCTTGGCGACGAGGTCCTGCTGCTTGGCGGCCAGCTCGGCCTCCAGCGCGAGCCGCTCCCGCGCCAGCGCGTCCGCCTCGCGCGCTATCGCCTCCAGCTCCGGCGTCGGCTGCGGGCCCAGGTTCAGACCCGCCTCTGGCTGCACAACACCATACAAAAAATAGTCAATAACTGCTGCACTCACATGTTAAATGGTTCCCTTAGGGAAGAATTTGTATAAGAAATGTATATTCGCATCTGTATGCAAATATTTATAAAAACGGCGTAAAGTTTTATATATCTCAATAGATTCGCACAGCTAGTTTGCTAAAATAATTAAAAAAAATTGTAACCACATTCTACTGTCAAACTTTCAAATGAAATGCTTCGAAATAATTCAAAGAACAGAAATGTCAATGGAAGAAACAAAATGCATATAATAGAAATAATAATTTTAATCGTATTTACAAGATACGTCGATGCCTTTGTAGATTGTGACCCAGGTAAATTAAAAATGTCTATAGACACTGATTTTATATTTGCACATATTTTAATATCCAAATATTACAGATGATGAAAAAATAGCACACAATGCTACCAAACTTGTAGATTATTTGAAAGAAATTCACATTAAATGTGAGGCGATATCCGCTTACGAAGGTTCCGTGGCGCGCTTGCCTTGTGGTCCTGTTAAAGAAGGCCAGAAGACAACTTGGATGTATGCAGAGGTTATAAACATTTGAAATCGAGTTTTATCGAAGAAAGATACTTTATTTAATCATATGTTTTATAGTTAGGCATGGTTTCAGTCAATATACAATATCTCTTTCACACCTATGGAGGAGAAGGAGACAGCAGTGGAAGATGGTAACCTAACCATATACTACGTGAGACAATCCGACAAGGGAGTGTATCAGTGCAATATAGACTCTGTTGCCAATAGTTTAGTTGTCTTGCAAATTCTTGGCGATGAAGATAAATATAATGTGGTAAGTAAATGCTTTTTTTCTGTATATTTCCGTGCACTAATAATATATGTTTTCAGGTGAAGCCGTTAACATCTGGTGGTCCGTATCCCTCGTCTCCTGAGCGACTGAGCCACGAGCTGGTAGTCTATATACGCTGGTCTCCGTGGAGCGGCTGCAGCCGATGCGACCTCGTCGGCCGCCAGCGGCGTTACGGCTACTGTTACGTGCAATATACGGAAAATAGTGCGGTACTTGACTATTAATCGTTTAAGGTCTTTTTATTTAATTTTAACTTAAAAAATGACTTACCATAGGTATTTTAATTTTGTATTTCAGTTAAATTTCACAGATAACTCTGAATTTAACAATACTTTATTAAAAGATGAAGATGTTAAATTATTTAGAGGTATTGTCCTTTGATTTAAAATAATTGTGAAGTTTTCTATTGAATTTCTTAAAAATACTAAAAACTAAACGCACTTTGTTACCTTATTTTGATATCGATAATAATTGCGTACAAATCGATTTTATGGTAAATTTGAGAATTTAATTGAAGCCATGACCTAGTTACTTCTGATAACGGCGAAATGCACACTGCCATATGGAAATTGTTTGTTTTCTAACCAAATTTCTCTGAACATATCGATTAATAATTTTTTTATCTTTGATATTTAATCTGCAGCATTTCCTGGAGGAATTCCTTGCAAATTAAATCTATTGCCAGTAACTATAATCGAACTACCAGAGGTTCGTATGAGGAAAAACGAAATTATGATTGGACTATGCAAGGTAGAAGTTATTAAAAAAAATTAAATATTACTAAAATTTCACACTAAACATAAGTTAACAGCACAGAAAAAAGAAGATAACTGTTTTTTTTTAATATTACGATATTTACGTACCCCAGGTGGGCAACTGCTGTTATCGTTAGTGTTGTAATTTAAAATAAATATTTCAATTAGAACAGTTTTATGACAGTGGAAACCTACGCTTATATAACGTAGTTTTTAGGTACCATGCAAGAGTGAGATTTTCGAGGTGCGGGGGAGTGGAGGCGAGGTGTTAGAGCGAGCCAACAACAGCGAGGGCGTGTTCTCGCTCTGGCAGCGCGAGCCCCCGCAGCCCCCGCCGGTGGCTAGAGACATCATCTTCGCCACCAGGGGTGCTGCGGTACTCATCAAGTGCCCAGGGTATTACTATGTTCGAAGCGATCAGTGCTTTGTATTGTTTTGAACGAAAATATATGGAGCAAGTTTTTTTACATAAAAAATATGAGATTTTTGATAATTTACTAATACTTTTTGTACCATTCTAATTGAACTAGCCTTGTACTAGAAATAGTTAACAATAGTAGAATGACGATATTCAAACCCTCGACCATGTGATTCGAAATTTTTACCCTTAACCATTATTGAGCTTTAGGGGAACATGAATTTTAGAAATAAACGAAGGAACTTATAATATCTAGATAAAATAATAAAATCAGTAAATTATCATTGAATTAAATTGGCATAGTATGTCATAAAAAATGCAATTCCCAGTACGACATTACAAGACATCCCCGTGACGTGGCGAACGGGCGACAAGGAGGTGATCCCTCGGGAGGTGGACCTCAGCACTGGAGGCAGGGTGCATCTCAACGCTAGGGACCACATCGTCATCGCAGCCGCGGAGTACGCGGACTCCAATGTTTATAGGTACCGCTACTCTTAACAGTAAATAGTCGTAAATGGCTACCCTAAGTCCAGATTTATAAGAAATGTAAAGTCAGCTGCATGATGTACAGGTTAAACTATGTCCATGAATTACGAATTAAAAAAAATTTACAATTAACATGGACGCCCACGTGAAAAGACGCAGAACGTTTTAAGCTAAATATTTTCAAACTATCATACTTAAGGGGTAAACAAAACTAACAAATATTTAAATATTGCTAAATACTTAGCTAACAAGGGCCTTCATTGTCATTTTGATAGTTTTAGGGAATAATCTTATATAATCGATAATATATCGATTTAAGAAGTCATCTGTAGCAAAACTCATTATATGTGGACTACCGACTGTCGGCCATATAAGAATGTACTATTAGGAGCATTGCGTTTATTCCTCACCAATATATACTAAAAACGGACACACTATACACTACTCGCTTTTTTTTATAAGAGAAGGGGGCAAACGAGCGGCGAGAACACAGAAGTGGTCAACGACGCCTATAGACATCCGCAACATCCGGAACTACAGATGCGTTGCCTGCCTTTAAACTTGGCTCTTGTTGACAGTTGCTGGCGAGATCAGAAGTTATCAGGCGTAATAAAGCTGAAGTTATACAATGGGTGCAGTGGGGGGTGTTGGGGGTGCGGGGGGTGCGGGCGGCGGCTGTCGCTGCTGGGCGCAGCGTGCCTGCTGGCGCTGCTGCTGCGAGCCCTGCACACGCTGCACCACTGTCTACAGCGCTCCGCATGATGTACCACAATATACTTTTTTTTAGAGTTTTTACTCGTGTTGGTTTACGTTTCTGTGCATTTTACTCGCTATCTTATAGATTATTTTTAAAACAATGTCTAGTTGTCAATGTGTCATTGATTTATGGTTTGTTTTTAATTAAAGACAACGTAATTTTTTTTTAACTTTTAATGTTAAAGCATTTACTAATTTAATCCTAAAGAGTAGCATAACCTTCTCTTAAAGACGCTCACGAGGGTGTCACCAAAGTGGACACAGTGAGGGACAGCTTGCCCACGTTAGCATTCACTGTATATGTATGGCGAGTGGGAAAGATTGCCCACGTTAGCATTCACTGAATATGTATGGCGAGTGGGAAAGATTGCCCACGTTAGCATTCACTGTATATGTATGGCGAGTGTGAAAGATTGTCCACGTTAGCATTCACTGTATATGTATGGCGAGTGGGAAAGATTGCCCACGTTAGCATTCACTGTATATGTATGGCGAGTGGGAAAGATTG